ACAATCGATAGCTACACAGGGAGAACGTTTCGCGTCCAATGTTAGAAATGGCAAGGTACATGACCAAATACGCCAGAACATTGCGGACGCGAACAAAAAACACAAGTATTACTTCGACCTGAAAACTGCGAAGGAACCGGAATACAAGGAAGGGGATCTAGTTCTCATCAAGAAAGGATTTAACGAGTTCTGGGACCACGAACACAAACTCGCAACCAGATACCAGGGACCTTTTAAGATTACAAAAGTCCACGGAAACCTCACAGTCGAATTGGGATTGTCTGAGACCCAACGGAAAAACTCATCGACACTCTTTCATGTGTCTCAAGTGGAAAAGTATCATCCAAGAACGGAGGAGGAGATCACCCCAAATTATGAGAACATATCAGGAATTATTCTCATCATGGAACACAAGTTGGAAGACAATAAGCTCTGGCTCAATTGCAAATTCCACAGACTCACCCATCAGGAAGACACGGGTGAGCCAATATACACAAACTACAGAGGATGGCTACCACCAACGGTGGTAAAACGTCACATGCAGCGAGACCTGCTCGCTTATTTCAAGAAGCATAAATTACCTATGGATTACTACCCTTATTACAGACGCCCCCGAAACACCACCACCAGAAAGAAACAATAGAAGCACAAAAGGTGTTTCATGGCCTAACGATAGTAGATTTTGACAAACAAAATCTAGGAAGGGGACTGTAATGGCTCCAAGGGAAACCCTCGGAATCCTCCATATTGGCATGACTCAAACGTGATTGTCAGAGCAAGCCACAAAAGGGGATTCTTAAAGCCACATTGGATTAGGTAATTCTATGAATATAAATTACTGTAAGAACGACTGAATTCTTCAGTCGTTCACTAACAGTGTTTTCACACCGTCTACCTTAGATTGTGAATAACCATTAAACTTATCTTGACGACTTATAAGCGAAGCTTATTCAATTAAGGTGTTCCTATCCGAGATAGATAGTTTGTCACCGGACATTCGTAATACAGCTCTTTTACGAGAAACAAGACCCTTCACGGAATCCCGCTGCTTCAGCGTTGAGAAGGTTCCCGTGGCCAAGTTGGTTAAGGCTTCATGCTTATATGGTACACCTCCTGCCAGGTATGCTACGTGAAAATCGCGAGTTCGATCCTCGCTGGGAGCATTGCTTTTTGTAGCTTCTATTCCCCGATCCGGAATAAGACTTCACGGTAGCTCTTGGCAAAAGAAACCGCTCTCTCCCCTCCTGCGCAGTCAAACATTTTTAAGACTTGCGCTTCCTCCCGCACAACGTCGACGTTTGATGTGCTCTAGCAAAAGAATGTTTCCAGGCTTTATTTGTTTTACCCTAAATTTTTTTTTTGTTTGTTATTTGTTATTTGTTATCTAATATTTAATAGCTATTGTTATTGTTTATTGTTTATTGTTTATTGTTTGGTACTTGGTCCTTCATATTTATTGTATTGTATTGTATTCTATTCTTGTTAAAATTATTATTACAATTACAATTTCTTTCTTTATTATTTATTACATTAAATGCGGTCTTTGCGTGCAACAGCAATGTAAGACGGAAAATTAGTCGGCCAAAAAAAGCTTTACATGTGAGAGTTCAGAACTTTCGTTGTTAGTATAGTTGTTGCGTTTAATAAATGGGAGCGATGGTAACATTCTTGCAGAGCAACACAAAATTAAGTCAAGAGAATGGTGAAGTAGCAGCTTTTTATCTATTTAACTTGTGCCTTTACCGAACCCTAAGACTCGAATCCTGGCGGATGGCAAAAACACACATGGACTGGGACGTCAAGTGACCGAAAAACGGAAATTATTCCGGCTACAACAATTGCACAATTTGTAAGCTTTAGGAAGCTTTGCTGTATACACAATCAACACCAAGAATCACTCGATGTTCAGCCAGAATACGCCTGTTTTCCTCTCAGAGCCGGGGTTTACACCAGCGGTAACAAACTGTGTCAACACAGGTACCGTAGTTCTAATTATTGGCTTAGGCAAAGAAGGACTACAGTTTTATGCAGAAAGAATAAAAGCAGAGAAAAAAGCCCGACCCCGACGGGATTTGCACCCGCGATCTTTGGCGATCCCGAAGACTCCTCAGTGAGACCCCTCGCCGGAAACCAACGCCTTACTTCTAGGCCACGAGGCCGCTTGTTGCTTCGTCAAACGTCGTAACCTTACTTGCTCCGGCTTTTTGCAAAATCCTGTCTTTCTTCGTGTTCCTGGATTGTGGAACGTAGCTGCCCCTTGCATTTAGTGCTGCAGCTTTTGGTTCGTCACAATCAATGCCATGTCGGTGGCCGCTAATCGACATCAAGGTTCGACGGTTTTATTGAGCTAGACTGATATCATCTAAGCTAATTTGGAGGATTGTTGTGCGTTTGTTCTGGAGTTAACTGGGCTCTGGGGGGTATACGCACAGCTCCTTCATGGGGCCCTAGCATGGCCCCTGTTCGCTATTTAGCAACATTCGCGGTCGCTTGCAATTGCGGAGGGTTTTTAGGCTTGCATCATGAAACAAAATAACCCGCACCCCAGCACACGAAGCAGCATTGCCGAAAAAGAACAAGTAAAGAAAAGCCAGGTATGATAGTGCCGAGCTTGGAAAAAGAAAACAGCACTGTTGCACTTACCAGGGTTCGAACCTGGGACCCTCTGCGTGTAAAGCAGATATCATAACCACTAGACTACAAGTGCTTCCTATGCTCCCCCAGCCTCTTTGCCTTACATGTCGAAACTTAGGTTATTGCCTCTATTTCAGTAAGGCTTTGAATTCATAAGACTTCTGCTCTACACTTTTTGGCCAGCCTCAGCAGATAATTTGCGAAAACCGAGAAGCTAAATGCCAGTACTCTGTTGAACACCGCCAGTTCCTGTGCAACAGAAAACACTGTGATTATCCATTAGTTCCTGTGTCTGGTTCCGGGGTCTGAGTTGGCGATGCACGACTGTAACGCCATCGACACTCTCCACAAAAACATGTGCTTCTAAGCGGTACAGTCGCAACTGAATTTGAGTAGCCAATATGAACATCAAGGTTCGTACGATACATGCAAGAGACTTTAGTAACAATCTTTTCCGGTAAAACGGCATAGCTTAGTCTTTAGCGCGCCAGCGGAT